GCCAGTCATTTTAAACAGTCTTCTACAAAACATATGCCAGTAGATTACATAAAAGACACTATATACAATATAAAAGAGCAGAAAACAATCCTCACTGTAAAAATAATTTAAAACAAAGTATTTCAATTTAAAATATCTCCTAGAGCACAAACTAATACATTGTGACATGCAAGTGAAAACTAAACATATTGCATTCTTTAGTGTAGCCAAATAAGAGCTGTGTTAAATTTGGACCATGAGACAACATGCCAGCATTTCCCGATGAATACAGGAGGCTGTTCTTAAATATTTATTAACTGATGTATCTTATGTTCCAAGAACAGCTACTATACATCTTCCAAAATGTAATAAATATTAAAGCAAAGTATATGAATAATCTACATTTTAGAGTTCATTTGGGCCAATGTTGAAAAAGTGGTTTAGAGAAAAATCCTGTTTCATTTACTACTGCACTGTGCAACTTTACAAAGTAGCTCTAAAGGCTTGGAAACAATCAGCACATGAACATTTGCAACACCCAGTTTTAAGGCAGCCTAGCACTTGAGACATCAGAATGGGAGAAGCCGCTTTGCTTTCCATATGTAAGGTGGAGCTACAGCAGCTGGGAAGTGACTTTCCCAGCCTGAGACCTCAAACCAGCAGGTTGTTAATCCATGTCGAGCCGCTTGGCAGCGTAAATGGAGGCTCTGGGTAGTTGAGGCAGTTTCTCCTGGTTTTGTTGCATCAAGTACAAAGGAAAAGCTTAATTTTTTGCGCCTTCTCACATGCTGGTAGAAACACTGTTCTGAACTCTGCTTCCACATTAGAGCCTTGGCAATTTATCAAATGCTATTTATAATGCAAGCTACCCTAGATGTGACTGCTGTACCCAGCGTGACAGACTCCTACTGGGGGGGATCCTTTTTGTTTAAATGCCAGATTCTAATTTCTAAGGAGCCAGGGTCAACATCGCCTTGTGTCCACAGGAAGTATTAATTCAGCAACCTAAGCATTTTCACAGCACTTCTTGATCAGTCTAAAAAACATTGGATTCCTCAAGTACTCCCTGTCTTGTTTCCATTCCACTATCTGCTCGCATTTAAGTATGTCTCAAACATACAAAGTAACTGCAAAAGCAAAAAAAAAAAATTAGCTGCCACAGTAGGTCTTAGAAAATGCCAGTGTTTAATGACAGACTAGGTGTGAATGAAAGGTTTAGCAGAAGCATAAGAAGGTTTTAAATAAACCAAAGTGTTACAAAGCAAGAGGTGTGAAAATACCATTCTTTGGTCTAAATTAGCTGTTCCCTTTATATTAGTTTAACATTCCAATGGCTTTTTCAAAACGGTTTAAAAATAATATAAGCTGAAATTTATTAAGCAAAAATATGTATTATATACATGGATGCCTGATTGGACAGATGAACTTAAAAGTGAACAGTGACAGTTGTTTAGATAATCCTGGTACCTTAAAAAAAAGATGAGTTAGTGTTGAGTGCGCAGTAATAGATTTTTATTGAAAAAGGTAAAAAACTAAGCATGAAAATCTGTTTTAGTTATTTATAAACACTACATCCTTATGGTTTTGTTGCTCTAAATTCAGACGTAAACATTCATTCTGACATGCCAAAGCTCCTAATGCTGGTGGAAAGTTCCTGTAACCAGTCAGCGATCACTTTACAACGCGTTGCTTGGATGTTCAGTCCCTGCAGCTTCATTTGTATAGGCTGATCCATCAGCTGCCGATTCATCCTGCTCGGCTCCATCTTCCCCAAAGCCAGGTTCCTCTTCCCTGTCGGGAGCATCCTCGTCCTCGATGCCATTATAAAACTCCTCGATCTCGCTCTCGTCCTCCACATCCAAGCTCTGACTGCGACATGAGCCGCTCTCGCTGCTGCTCCCACAGGAGCTGGAAGATATGATGTCGTCCTCGGAATCGGAGTAAACCTCAGCACCGTGGAAAATGTAGCGGTTGGGTGCCAGAAACAGATACTGAGTGCCTGAAACAGAATTCCAACACTCAACAAAAGGCTCAAGTAAATGATTCACACAGGATCTGTCAGACTTCTGCTTAGAAGGTATCTGCATATGTGTGTTTTTATTTTCCACAGTGAAGCTTAACTGACAGATGGGATGACACGAGAAAAGCATTTATGTCAATGTATGTGTGTTTATTACAAAGCACAAAACAAATGCTTCACCAGAAAGCTCAGTGTTCCTTCTCCCCCATCCTTTTGACACCAAAGAGCATTTATACTTAATGTTTAGCAGCTTTTTTCATCAGAACAGGCACTGCAAGAAGGAATCATCCCACTGTAAGACAAATGTCTAACACAGAGGAGATGATTCAGCTGCTGGAGGGCAGACGTCCCTCCACTGCCTGTGGAATGAACCTTGGGGCAGATAGAAACTGTTACTTGCTTAAAATTAACCCAGGTGACACCAGTCCACCTCAAAATTATTACATTAACAAGTGTCAGTCAGGGTTTTTTCATGGGAAATATTCACAGCTAGATTTCCATTACCCATGACAGAATGGGAACCCCTGCACAGAATATGTGACAAAGTCTGAAACCAGCCTTTGCTCTGGAACATTGCAATTTCATACCTAACCCCTCACATCAGTTAAGAGATTGGAGGGCTTTCTTGGAAAGCCTAAAGTTTCCTTCAAAATGTGCCTCACTCCAGCTGTGAGACTTGCTTTCAGCTGCTGTCATGGCTTCATCTTTCAGCTCTACTGCCATACCAAATCATGACCTAGTGTGAGCAGCTTCTGAACACCTGAGGATCAAACCAGTTTTTCTGAAAATGCATTTCAAAGTGCTGGAAATGGATTTATTTTTTGATACTTACCTTCAGCCTCCTAAACCTTGGTCTTTTAAGTAAGGATGTAATCACTGATTGTAAAACCTATTATGAAATACAAAACCCATTTCCTATCGGCTTCTCCAAAAGAAATAAATGGTACAATGAGAGTTATGTAGACACTTGTCTGAACAAAACTAACCACCAAAACCCACTTACTCCCTCAAGAGTAACTTATTTATTGCTTTAAAGTAAGTCTAGCATAAACATCTCTTCCAAAAAAATGCAAAATACTGAAATGACTTAACACTTACCATCCAGCCTTTTGCTAATCTGTTCTTTTGCAGATCTGTTTACCCAGCACTTCTTCAATATTTCATTCTTTTCCTTATTTTCTCCGTTGTTAGATCCATTTTCCTTCATTGTTTCAGAGTTCATTTGCTCGCTAGCAGGATTTTCGGGGTTTTCTGACGACGTCTGTGTGTCCTGAAGCTTCTCCTCTGAGCAGGTCCATTTAGTTTCGGAGGCAAGCTCACAGTTTTCTACCTTACATTCAGGTGGGTGTTCTGAAGACACCACTGCAGTATCTGGTGGAGTCATTCTTCCTGGTGAGCTGGAGCCTTCAGAAATGTTCAGAGGGGTAGGCGGTAGCTCAGCCGAGAGCACTTCGAGCTCCTTGTGCGGTCGTGGAGGCTTTTCTGTTATTTCTGACAGTTTTACCGAGTTGTAGCAAAGTTTTGTGTATTCACTACCCAGCCTTTGACATAATTCATTAATAATAACGTCACAGTCTCCGAGAAGCTCCACGTCGAAGTGTAGATGAGGCAAAGGTTCCCTATTAATTAAGATCTGAGGCACTTCATGGGGGATGGAACCTATGCACAGAAAAGAGAATTCAAAGGGAGTCACTCCAGCTTTACTTTCATCAGAGATCTTAGAAAGCTTGACTCCTCAGGCTTCTCTTTACCTTCCCTTGCAACAGGACCAAATTAGCCAGATCAGGAAGAAGCCAAGCAAATCCCAAATTTAACAACAGCAGTCTGAGGTCCAGTGCTCTCTGTAGCCTGCTTAGACAATATTTTTCTTCCTGTTTTTTCCAGTTAATATTCCTCAATCATTGAGAAACACATGCACAGAAATAATGACTCTAGTAATGTTTGGTCAAGTGTTAAAGATTAAAATTAGTACTATAATCTCTTAGAATTATGTTGATTTCATGCATTTGTTTTATTACTTAAGTGAACATGAGGAATATACCAATGGTAAATTACACCCCTTTAATTAAGTCAAAATATTTCCAGGTTGTACAGGGTTGTTCAACCCATTTCTGACGTTTAGGCTTCCCAAACCCACGAGGTTTGATGACCTAGCATGGACTCCTCACAGACCAAACTAATGAAATCTACTTCTAAGGCACAGAAAGAGCAGTGGTTTGTATAGCAGAGGGAAACTTTCCAGTCCTTATGCAATTCCCATCAGCCTAAACACTGGGCTCTGCCTCTTGTACAGTGAAGAGGCTGTTCCTGCAAAGGCTGTGGGTGAGTTACTGGTCCCAGTTAGCAGATGCTAAGCACATGTCCTTCTCAGGCTTACATGTGAAGAGAATTTCTTTAGTACCAGTAAGTCTTTCACTCAGTAGACAAATAAATCACCTGTAATGGTAATTTCTCAGCCTTCCTGAAAGGCATTTTCCTGTAACATATATTAGCAGAGATGTTTTTCCACATCACTTTAAAAGCTAAGGACGCAAGTGGTGACACGCTATACTATGCCCACTCTGTGCCACTTAATAGTGACTTTAAAATAAGCTACAATTCACATACCTAATGTGCCTGATCTGATTTTTTTGATACTCCATTTAGGTCTTTTGAGATGACTCCTTTCTAAATCTTTCAAGTAACTATGGAAGCATATTGCAAGCAGGGAGAGAAATTAACTGAGTCTTAGAACAAAGTCATTCAAGTTTTACAAGAGTACTTTTTCAGATTATCATTTCATTTCCTTGAGATCTACCTGGACTATAGCAAAAGCACTTAAAATTTGCTACTTTCTCTATTCTGCATTTCAGCTTTACATAGTAAAGCAGCTTTCATCTTACTTGATGCTTAATCAAGTTCCCTCACTGAAAAGAGCCGAAAGCGTTCCTTAGCTTCTCAGCTCCTAACTGAGAATTTCACTTTTGATTCAAACTTTTGGAAGAAAATACTACCAGAGATAGTCACTTACTTGGAATCAATGCTACTGGTCTTACTTTCAGCGAAGACCCAATGACAATGAGGAGATCAACTTCGTTTTTGTCGTACTTCATGGCCCGGTGGAACTGCTCGGGTAAGTTCTCCCCGAAGAACACAATGTCGGGCTTCATGATGGCGAGCGGCTCATCGGGGGGGCACCTGGGACATCGGGGCACAACCTGCACCACAACACCACCTGTTACTGCAGGACGAGGCTGTGCCTTGGAAAAGGTCAGGTTTAGGCATTTCACAGAGACTTGGCAAAAGACAGGGAAGTTTCAGTGATATTTCCTCATCCCGTTTTTCTGTGGATGTACAGACAAGCACATTCCTTACTCTAGCCTGCAGAGGGAAATAAAGCTACAGCAGGAATAAAGAGGGAGAAACCAGGCAGATCTACAGCACAGTTCTTATCTGACAGTTAAGCCGAAGTCCAGAAGTCATGCTCAGCACCAACAGGCAATCCCCTCCCATTTGATAGGAACGTATATTCCTTGGTATAATCAGAGCAAAAACTTAGGTTTCCCTGTCACTTTCCATTCAAAACAAAGCCCTTCCTACTCAGTCTATTGTAGAGCTTTACCTCTAGTTTCTCCTCCAAAAGGGCACGAGTGTTATACACACAAAGCAACAGGGCACTGTGGCAGGCAGCTGGCTAAAAGCAGACAGGATGAGAAAAGGACAGAACTTTTCTTTGGTCTCCATTTAAAACTTTTCCAATTCCTCCAAAAACAGAGCAGAATCCTCATTTGCTGACAGAAGTGGATGAGAGTTATGTTTGCGAAGAATAGACTCCCTTTCCTCCTGAAAGCAGAGGGTTTTCTGATCTTTGGGACCTCTTTCAACTCTTTCTTATCTTAAGACTTTTTCAGAGAGAAGAGAAGCAAGAAGGTGAGTGATAGATCTGCTACAGACAATACTTCAGTTACTACTCAGCAATTTCCCTTTTAAATAGTTCAAGTCTTCTCAGCTATAGTGTTAAAATATGATGCTCCAGAATAAATCTAAGGAGCTAAATGTAGCTGCAATCCTATAGCAATCACCACAACCTATAAATTAGAGCTATAAAGGTGTAAAGAGATGGATATTACCTACTGTAATATGAAAATATCTGATAACTGACATTTAATTGCACAAGAAGTCCCTCTTGTACAGAGAACAGCTGCAGAAAAAAATAATATAGAATGCAGAAAGTTTAAATCAAAGAATTAGTTCTATGGATGCCTGCAGTGGGACAGAAGACAATACTCTCCAAATGAGAAAACATCACAAGTAGAAGGCTTTCTCTAGTGTCAAAGGACCTTTCCCAAAATTTAAGTCTTTGAACAAAGAAACCTTGTGGGAGGGATGCCTAAGAAGCAATATGGCACAAGAGCTAGAGGAAACCTTCACCCTGTACCCAAGCTAAATAGCATCCAGTAACCCCACACTTAAGGGAAACCAACTAAAGAATTCCCCAAAAAGGAGCAGATGGCTAGAATGAATATTGAACTTCTTCCTCTGATCTTTACATATTAGGAAAAAAGCTTATACAAACAGCTTATACTTTTCTTAAGATTTTTCCCCTGCTATCTCTTTTGTTGATGTCAGTGATGCCTTTGCACTTTCGGAAGGTTACAGAGGGTAAATAATTTGCTCTGTGTTAGGAGGAAGATAAAATGAAGACCTCTGACTTCTGATTTAAAAAGACCAAGTAATACTAACTCTGTTTCCATCATTTCTCACAGCAAGTCCAGTGACTTGAGACTTAGTGGATCTCTGTCCCTATTGAAATTATCCAAGTCACTGTAATGACCCCTAAATGCATTTCAACGCTACACTACTCACCAGCTTTTCTCTGCTAATCCTCAAGAGGTCATCAGTAAAGGGGGAGATTTATTCCAAGAGCTGAAATTGATACCAAGAAGTTAAAGCTACAAAACTGGCCACTCAGTTGCCTCTAATAGGGTCCTCTTTCCATGGAGAAGCAGCTCCCCCAAACCCCCACCATCTCTGCTGATGCATTTCTCTAACTGAAGAGAAATGGAGTTTCTCACTATTGATGTTACCCATATATTAAAAATGAGATTAGTAAAGATTACACTGGCTTAAGAATAGCCAAAAACTGGTGCATGTTTTCCAATTCTTGGGCCCTTTCCTCCTAAATCTGAGACCCTTTTACCAGTTCTTGAAGCTGCCAAAAATAGCCAAAAGTAAAAGTGATATTTTTGGAAGTGACTGACAGTTGTTTTCCTTGGATGTTCTGTGTGCTTTATACCTGCTGCTGTTTCTCATCCAGAAGGATGGTTGTATACAAGAGGGAATCATTCTACAGCACTGTATCTCCAAAGGGGCAAATGAAAGAAGAGCAGCATTTGTCTAAACAGATGATCTCAAACAATTCTCAGTCTGTAACCTGCTGAAAGGAAATCCTGGCAGAAAGATGTTGGCCAGAGCAAAGGACAAGTATTTCTAGGGGAAAACTAAGGACCTGGGGCCATGTATAACTGAACTTCCAAGCTGTGGAGGACAGCAGAGACTAGAACCTGGACTATCCATTGGGAGCCAGGAGCCAAAACCATTTTTGTCAAGGGGGATTTGTTAGAGAACAGAGCTGTTGAAATGAACAGTGTTTTGTTTTGTAAGTACAGAAAAGGCTTCCTTTGATACATCAGGAACCAAATTCTGTATTTTAGAGAGGCAACAGCCAAAGATGCTGCATAGCACTGGGTTGAGAAATGCGGGCTATGGAATAAAGATAATGATGGTAAATAGAATTTTTTTTTCAGGTATAAAGGAGGAAAGACATGTTTTCTTTCAATTGCTCTATTTCGTATTTTGTGAAATTGTATTTAGCAATGCCCATATTTATTTGCATTATGAAAACAGTTCAGTATCACAGCCAGGGCCTGCCCTGGGAAGATGTACCTGGCAACAGTACTGCAAGATCAGAGCTGAGAGACTGAGTGTAAGAAGCTCCTTGAGGCTCATCTTGTGTGAGAGAACCCTCTTTGGGCACATCAGGCAGAAGAATTGCTACAGGCTGCATCTCTCCACTGCCTGGCACTGCCATTCCTGACCCCTGGCACAAGTTTGGTTCAGCATACGAACACCCAATGGTTCAAGTGGTGCTTGGAAAAGTAGACTAACAATCCAAACAGAAAATTACAACATGCTTAGGAGGAAGAAAACCTAAACTCCAGCCAGCTGGCTTTGAAGGCAAAGGAGCAGCAAACATCTGTAAGATAAAAAGTTCTCAAAAATAATACTCTTAATAACAAAGAAAACTATATTTCACATTCAATATTTCAGTGTTACAAGGCTTCAGGCTTATGAGATTCACCTTTCTCAAAGCTTTAACTCAAAACAACTCTTCTGAAATGCTTTCATTGAGCTCTGTTTTAAATGTGATACCTGAAGGATTTACATCCCTTTAGACGTTTCTCGTCTAAAGTTGCAAATGTGGACTCTAGAGCATTTATCAAAAACACACAAGCCTGCAGAAAGAGTCCCCTTTCATTTGTATAAACAAGATCTTTTTGATCACAGAACCATCACCTCTGTTCCTTCAAAAGAAGAGGAAGAAAGGCAAAGAGGGTCTTGCCAAGTCAAAGGTTCATCTGCTCTGACAGAACAGAACCAACTCCTGCATGGCCCCAGGGCACTTCACACCCACACATGGGGAGTTCGGACCATGGAATAGTACAGGAGTCCCAAAAAGCAACAGCCAGCAGCTCATTTGATCCTTGCTCAGCACCTGCTCTGTGGTTAGCAATCTCTCCATGCATCAGCTGCTGTTTAAACACATTTTTAGCACAGGTAAATGCTCAAAGAGCAGCCAATGTTATAAAAGGCTAAGACTGCTTTCTCTGTGTGACTGAGAGTTCAGGTTAACACAAAACAAATATAAATCCAAGTTTCTACTACTTACCATTTAGCCTCTCCTTTTCTCAGAGGTGTCATTAAAAATAGACTCTTAAGGTTTTGTTCTGATTTTTCCCATTACCTAATTTTTGCAGTACAGTATTTTAGCATACTTTTAGATACCAGAGGAAATGCTAAAATTCTCTGAATATGCAAAGATATGGAGCCTTCTAGAAGCAGATCTTTTAAGCAATCCCAGTGTGATATTTTGGGGTTTGGTTTTTTGAGAGAAAAGTAAGTTTTACTTACTTATTATTAGAAAGATGCAGTGAGTTAAAGTGAATTTTTTACCTGATTGAAAATATCTCCTCGAACAACTTCACAATCAACTTTGTATTTACAGATCAGGCAGGAAGCTGTTGCAAAGGAACCTGAGGGGAAAAACCAGTATGGTAGAATCAGGATTTTCAGTCATTCGGATTTGGTCTTTTTGCCCAAGCTGTTTTGACACAAAGGCTGTTATATTGCAGTGCTACAGAAATCAAGCATTAAAAAAAGTAATGTAAAATTATGGAGATACTTGTAACACTAAAATTCGTTCTTCTAGATGTTAGTCAGCAGAAATCTTGTTTTAAGAGTAGCTTAAAGTAATAATTCAGACCTTTATACAGCATGTTAGGGACATGCTTGTCAGGCTAGCAGACCTAACCCTCTCTGAGGCATCTGTTGCTAACCACTTGCAACTCTATTACGTGAATTACTTTTCACATCAGAAGGACTTGACCAACAAGTTTGCTGCCCCATGCACAAGCCATGCATAGCCAGCAGGCCACGGCCTCCAAACACTCAGCTACAGCAGTGGCAAGGAATACAGTCTAATTCCAGATGTATTGGTTGAATGCAAGAGCCATTTTAAATTCAGAAAATGCATCTCAGACACCAATTTTCACAGCAGAAACTTTACTGTATGTCTGCAGTGAGAAATGGGTCCAAAGGTTCACGTGTGAAGTCCCCAAATCACTGCAAGGTTCCTTTTTAACTACTCGCGATTAACTAGCCACTGCCACAGCCAGAGAAAAAAGGTAGAATAAATACAGCAGTATTAAGTGTATTAACCCTTACATAAGTGTTTCAGTTTCTCCTTAGCCACTACCATTAGTCAAAGATCATTTGGTAAAGAACAGCAACTGTATGTCTGATAAAGCTTGATGTGCTCGAAACAACCTTTACTAATTCCCAAAGGCTTCAAAATCTCAAAGTGCCTAGCATGTTTTTAAAGAATCTATTTAATTTAAAGTCACCTTACACAGGACATACACTAAAGATGGTCTGCAGTCTCATCACTGCAGTGTGCAACCAGAAAAACGGGGAGCTTGAGCAGTGATGTGCCTTACAAATAGGACAACACTGGTTTTAGACAATTCATCTGCCAGAAGTTTACTAAATGATCCAAACGTGCCCTTTAACAACTAATTTTCTGCATCCTTTCCTTAAAAATGAATCTTTGGACTTTCAGCCTGACATATGCAAGTCCTTGGAAATGGAAAGCCTATTGAGCAACTGAAGCAATTCCACTTCGTTTGGCATCATAGTTACAGTGTGGGTGACACTGAAGGTGTAACAAGATGATCTTCAGTTCACCTGAACTGGTGATTAACTCACAGTGTTTTATACGAGGTGAAGTCACTGAAGTGTCAGAATATTTCAAGATTTCAGTGGAATGGAACCTAAATAAAGAGACAGGTAACAGCCAGATTCCCATTTCATTGACAGGTAGTGAGAGGGACCTGTGACAAGACTGATTTCCACACTATGTTCTTATACAGATCAAGAAGCACCAAATGCAGTTTAGAAGTTGTGGTCTAAACTTGTGCAAAGAGAATGTGGATCTTCACTGATACACAGACACCACTGTTTACCAAGCTCAACTTCTGAAAGAAGTATTCCCATTTAAAACACTTCTAATTTAAATACTTCAGCTACCCAAAAAGAAATTTCAACATTTTAAAAGCAGAATGTTTGTTGGCAAGAGACAGGAATTCAAGGGAAAAAAAGTTAAATTCCAGCAGCAGTTACCTTGTCACGTGCATCAGTCAGAACAATTCCTACATGTAAAATAAGTGAAACTAAACCCACTAACCATGACACTGTATTATCCTTTGGATTCCTGCAACCTGTTCCAGTGTGTCTATGTTCTGAGTATAGTTGCGAAGTAGTTTTCCTTCTTTATCCATCAAAGCTATGAACTTGTGACAGAGAGACGGCTGGAATTGTCCTGGATAGATTTCCTAGGGAATTCAGAAGCACATTAGAAAAGTGTAGAGAGATACATGGTGTCTTTATTTTAACGGCAGCATTTCACACTGAGCTAAATCCTGTCACCACTGATCATGTCAGCAGTTCGTGCTGTCACTCCCTGGGCACTTTCCCATTGCTCTGGATCCAACCCTTCCTTCCACAGCTCAGCTCCTGATCACATCAAGGTGAACTGCTCTTTGCAAGTTGGTATTTTGTTCTTTACACAGCATAAAAGCAACATTTAGATCTCTTTCTGGTTTTGATAATTCTGGAATAGGAAAGCTTTGTTTTCCTTTTGAAGTGTCAAGTAACATCAATGTTTGTAAATTGAAACACATATTCTGATGGACAGGAGAAGAAGAATTTAAAAAGTTTAAAAAAAAAATTATCAGCTTAATTGGATTTGGGCTTTTCTGCCAAAACCTATGTATAGACAGGCTTTAAGTATGTTGATTTTTTTGCTTGCTATGGCATTTTTTTGTTTTGTGGTCTTTGGGGGGGCTATTTCGTGGTTCTAGGTGTGTGTGTGCTTTTTAATATTAAAAACCGAAGGAACTGATTATACTAATGAGCATCAAAATATGGTTATCTGGATAGGAAGCTTTCAGAGAATGCACTACATTTTCTTTTTCAATCTTTGTAATGTAACAGAGCAGTAGTAAAAATTGTGAGCAAAGGGAAGGACGAGTGAGCACAACTAGCGGCGATTGATTTTCACAAGTCCTTACTGGTCCTGTAGAAATTCTTGTATTTTGAGTTTGATTTTGTTTTGTTCCAAGGAAATTGCAGACTGTATGCAATGGGGTTTTTTTGTTTCACATATGACTACAGCTTCTACAATTCCTTCTTGTCTAGGAGATGTACTTGCTGCTTTTGAAAGTGTTTAATATCACTAATATCTTTTCAACTATCTAGAATGGTTGTGTGTATCATGAACTTCCAACAGGAACAGTAAAAACAAGCTTAAAGAATAAAAAAAAAAGAAAGAATGTTGCTAAATACTTCTAGTTTTATATCTGCTTTATGCATTTTAATCTTGTTATCCGTCTTTGCTGGCCAAGAACTGCTGGAAAACCATACCTTTGCGAACTTAAAGAA